TGTTCTTTAGCTGCTTCACATATTTTTCTGGCCATTAAAAGTCTTCGCCATCTTGGCATCGGATCACCTGAACTACTGAAATGGTCTGGAGTTTGGTCTACAAACATTTCTGGCGTATAATTCTTTTTTACATCCTCGATTTCTTTAAGCATCTAAAATTTTCATTCTATTGTATCAACAATACAAGATAAAAGTGATGTTGGTAATGCTTTTTCTATATATATATATATATATATATATATATATATATATATTAGAAGAAACATTGCTAATATGTATTGGTATTTTCATCCTCGGTCTGCTATCTTTATCACCAATTATTAGTCACTTGTGTGATAATTTGCATGAAAAGAAAAGCATTGTGACTGTTGTTTGCTGATAAATTTTTTTGTAGATAATTGTCATTAATAAAAAAATAGCGATGATAAATTTGTGAAACCAATTTGTAACGTAATTCTACAACCTTCTCTTTGCTTACTGCTTATTATAAATTACAATTTTAAAAATTTTATTGAAACATTTTGTTTCGATATGTGTGGTTTCAAAAATTATATATTTTTTTAAAACATAGTTCTGGTTTGACTCAGTTTGATCTCTCCTTTACTTGACAGATACCTGAAGCTCTCGATCAGCTAACATTTGCCGCCTTTCTTCTCTATATCGGGGTAACGAGTTAATACCATCGGTTAATGAGCTTAGTTCTGCAAATTTAACCTAATATGAAAAATATTGATAAAAAAAAATTATATTTTTACACTGCCAAAGCATGTATTTAATACAATTTAGGAATTATTCTGACATTAAAAAGAAACAAAAAAATATCTTCATATTTGCTTCTCTTTTATTTTTGAATACAGTTGCAAAGCAATTAAACAGAAGAGATGAACAAAAAAGACTTGGTAACACATATTTAACAATTGTACCTCCAATAATTTCATTGTTCAGCATTGGTGCAGATATATTTGAAGCGTAATTATTATTCTTTTCAGCGTCCATATGACTTTGATGCGGTTTCCGTAAATTACTCCTTAATGATCCTACAAAAAAAAAAAAAAATTATATTAACATTTTAAAGTTTACTGCACATTTTTTTTTATTGCACGCTATTTTTAACCTGAATATAAGAAACAATTGAAGTGCTAAACATAGACCAATTTTTTTTTATTTCAAAATTTTTGCATTAACAATAATTACTAATCAAAATTTTGCTAAAACTATTAAACTTAAAAAAGGTTGAAAATGCAAGAAAATTTTTCAAAAATAAAAATTTATAAACTGAGTTTTGTATGTCAATACTGCTTGTGACATTTAAGCAGCAATAATTATTGATATTTATTCATCATCAAATACTTCATTGTAAGTAGCACAAAAAAAAAAAAACAAATATTTTTCTCTTATCAAAAATAAATACTAACAATAAAACAATGAACAATAATTTTAAACTTAATCTTCCTATATACTAACAAAAAATTCTTGTATTTCTTTTACCCAAAAACTTAAACATTTTATTTTGGAAACAAAAAGTTCTTTGAAGATTCAGAAAAACTGGGAACCAGTAAAGAAGAAAAAAGGAATTGCTGAAATTAATAACTGTACGGTAAATTTTATTATGACTATATGAAATCAAGAAATAAATAGTCAATCAAAATTCTTCAGATATTTTTTTTGTCCATTAATAGCAGCACAATAAATATGATTGTAAAAATAGGTAATAATTTTTTGTTTTTTGGTTTGTAAGAAAAACTGCTGTAATAGAATTGTTTCTTTTGAACAAACACAGTGATGATGAAAATATTAATGACTTTGACAAAAAAAAAAAAAATGTTATACAGCAAAAAACAGCAGTTTTGCCACTGTTTTATCCCGTGCAGAAACTAATGTTTAGAAAAAGAAAGCTTTTTCTGAGTCTTACTATTATTACTTTATCAAATGGAACTACCAATTAATACTGAAAAGCCAAACACTTTATGAAAAAGAAAACTGATGAATAAGAACCACCGCAAAAATAAAGGTGTAAGTAACTGTAAAGTAATCAGTGACTTAATAATGGTTTGAAGGCTTTAAATTTTTGCAAAATAGTCGATTTTTTATTTGCATTTAGTAAATTTATTACAAAAAGAATAAGATAACTTTTTGCAATACTGTTTTTGTTAATTGACAAGATAGATCTTATTGCTGTCACCAGTTTTTAACTGTTGGAGTATAGAAACAGAAGAAGTTATGACTGCATAGACAATTGGAAACGATAAGCAAAATCCGGGAGTATCAGCCTAAACCTTACAACAGACTGACAACCACAAAACTGATACTTCTCAAATAATTTAGTTAGAAAACCAACGATGTCAAAATTGTCAAGCAAAAACTATCCTTTTACGATAAAAGTTTTTCTCCTTTGAAATGTCGCAACTAATTTATCCTA